CCCTCCCCTCCCGCTTCCGGGGCCCGCGCCTGCGGCGACCCGGCCGCTCCTCTCGTGTCAGCTTATCCCGCCCTCTGTGCGCGCGTGAGAACGGGATCCGGCCTCGCCCTTGCCCTTACGTCAGATGGCCCCGCCCTCTCTCATTTCCCAGCGAGACCAGGCTCTGCCGCTTGGCTGTGCATCAGAATGAGGCTGGCCCCGCCCGCTGGTGGCAGCAGTGGGATTTCGGCCGAGCCCAGGGCATGCGCCTGTGTGTGTCAGCTTATCCCGCCCTCTGTGCGCGCGTGAGAACGGGATCCGGCCTCGCCCTTGCCCTTACGTCAGATGGCCCCGCCCTCTCTCATTTCCCAGCGAGACCAGGCTCTGCCGCTTGGCTGTGCATCAGAATGAGGCTGGCCCCGCCCGCTGGTGGCAGCAGTGGGATTTCGGCCGAGCCCAGGGCATGCGCCTGTGTGGGCAGAGGCAGCATAGCTGGCCCCCGCCCGGGAGGAGAAAGGGACAGCGGGGGGCCTCCCACTCCAACTGGGTGCTGGGGGTGTGTGCTCGGGTGACCAGCACCCTGCTGTTTTGTTATTGATCTAGAACAGTGGTCTCCAACCTTTTTAAGCAGATCACTTTTTGAATTTGTCAGTCTAGGATCTGCCTCTAACACAAATACCCCCAGCCCGCCCCTTTGATGAGGCCCCACCCTCCTCTGTGAAGTTGGGATACAAGGGAAGGGGACAGAGCAACATCAGCACCTCCCTGCTTCTTGTCTTCCCCACCCCACACTACATGCAGAAGGCTCCCAGGGGACAGCTCTGAGGCTTTAGGCAGGAGCAGTGGGGGAAGGGCAACTGACATGCAGGCACTTGAGAACCTTCCAGCCAAACCAGTCAGGATCACCTGTCAGAGGCTCCAAGATCTTCTGATAGATCCTGATTGACTGGTTGGTGACCCCTAGTCTAGAAACTGAGTCTTGTGCCTATGGGGCTCTGCTTGGAGGAGCAGCCTGCAGCCCCTAGGCACCCGATATCTACACCTTTGCTCTGCCACAGCCCATGGAAACTGTGGGGATGGGGTCTGCAGGCAGAGAGCCAGAGCAACCTGCTGGCCACTTCCTGGAAGTGGCTTCACCCCCAACTCCTATCTGGTCCATCAAGGTCAGGGGGCTCTGTTTGTGCCTGCAAGCCCTTTCCCTGCAGCTCCCATTGGCAGTGTGCCTAGCGTACGGGAACTGCTGAGTTCACCAGTGTGGCTGGTGCAGCATTGGGAGACAGCACCTGCCCCCCACTCTGACCATAGGATTCAGAGATCACCCAGCAGGGCTGGTGAGAGGACAGGATGGGAGTGTCCAGGTGGTGTGATGATGGGGGGGGGAGGGGAGAACGCAGTACAGGACAATGTGGTGGCAGGACTATGGGGAAAGGCATCAGGTAGCGAGGAGAACCTGTACTGGGAAATCAGAGAGTGAGGTAAGTCCTGGGTGGGGTGCTGGGCAGCTGTGGTGGGGCTGTAGGAAAGAGT